GCTCAAATGATCCAAAAGCTCCCAGCTCCTTTCCTACTATAAAAGTGGGTGTCAGAAATCCACCTTCCACCCACTCGTGCCCTATTTAAGCACTTCCAAATTCTTCCTTTCGTTTTCCAGCTTTTCTTTCTCTGGATCTGGAGGGCAGCTTCAACTGCAACCCTTAAAATGGTGCTGACATATCCAAGTCTCACCTTCTGCAAAGGAATTGGCTTGTTCTCCTGCTCCTAAGCTGCCCGATATTAAAGCCCACCAATTGAATTGCAACAATCTAAATATATGAAGGTGCTGCCTGGGTCATAGGTTATAGGTTTCATCTCTGGCAGATTAGTTTTTAATATGCAGGCAGGGTATTATTTTTTTTATGCCTGTTTGCATGACCTGTAAGCATTTTGCTGGGGGGGGGGGCGAGCAAGGAACTTATATCAATATACAACTTTAAAATCAGTCAGTTGGAGGCTGTTCAGACAGCAGACTCAAACAATAGCTAATAAAAATGGAATATCCTGCTTTGTTCACAGAAGTTTACAAGCATGCCAGATGATGTCGCCTTTCCCTTTGTGTCCTTCTGCATTTCCCATCACTTCTCCCTTTTTTATTTTCTTGTCCTTGTCAGAAAAGTCAAATTAAAAAAAGAAAGATGGAACAGCATCCCAACCCAATTTTAATTGTTGGCACTAAGGGCTACCAGTAGGAAAATACCAGCAATTTTTGCAGCCCTCTTAAACCTTAAACCAAAATGAGTTAAAATTACCTCTTCCAAGGTAATTTTCTCCCAAGAATGAGGTCCACAACCAGGATGCTGATATAGGAAGGTGTGTGATCTGTTCCTCTACCACAGGGGTTTTCAGACTTGACAGCCTTAAGACTTGTGGACTTCAAACTCCCAGAATTCCTCCTCCTGTCATGTTAGCTCAGGAATTCTGGGAGTTGTAGTCTACAAGTCTTAAACCTGCAAAGTTTGAAGATCCTTGCTCTACCAGCTCTGGCTGAAAGGGCCTATACAGCACAGGAAGATAGCAGTATTGAATTGTCTTTGGCTTTTCCAAAAAAAACTAAATGGATTGGACCCAGTTAATATTAGAAAGAGAGACCATTAGGAAATCCCTCAATTCTACCATAGATTAGATTGGAAAGTTGGGGACAACGATACCCTGGAAGAAGAGAGTGACAAACCATTTTCATAGCATTGTTAAGAAAACTGCACAATGTACCCAAGTAAATCAACATGAGTCAAGCTCAATTTGAAGGCACTTTTTTTTAAAGGGAAATAAGGGATTTCTCACTCACCTTGCTGACAAAGGATATACAGTTTTATAAAGAATTGGCCTGTTGAATGTGGCTCTGAAAAAACTTGTAAATGCAAAAGCTACTTGGCTCAGGTCCCTGCTGATGCAGGAAATCAGCATCTGGGATAGCACCTGGGCCCTACGCTTTAAAGAAGGAAGCCCCACAAAACTGAGTGACTGAATTGAAAGATTGCATGAAGCCTTACGTGACTCTGGGTTACTGTTTTATCTTTGGCTTTGCTTGTTGGGTTAAGCCAGCTATCGTGGCTTGAGAGCATAAATTATACTTAAGGGTTTTTTTGTGTGTGTGGGGGGGGTACACCTTCAAATCAGTTTTTAACTCTGGTGACTGCCTGGACTAGTCTCTGCAGATTTCTTGGCAAGATAGTTCAGAAATGATTTGCCTCTGCCTCCTTCTTAGGGCTGAGAAAAAGTGAGTGGCTCAAGATCATCCAGCTGGCTTTTATATCTAAGGTGGAACTAGAATTCATGGTCTCCTAGTCTGGTGTCTTAACTATTACTCCAAACAGGGTTTCATACTTTAGTATTACATGCAAATCAAGTCCCTTAAAACAGGGGTCTCCAACCCTGGCCACTTTAAGACCGGTGGACTTCAACTCCCAGAATTCCTCAGTCAGCAAAGCCGGTGGAGTTAGAGCAAAGCTGGCTGAGCAATTCTGGGAGTTGAAGTCCACCAGTCTCAAAGCGGCCAAGGTTGGAGACCCCTGCCTTAAAAGCAAACATAATTGTTCAGTATAAAATGTGACACCAGTCATTTATTCTCCTACTTATGTCCTGGAAATCTCTCCCCTTATGTTTGGTCTATATATCCTGTTTCTTGCTCCTGAAGGGAAGAAGACATATAGGGCTTGTGATTAGTCAACATTTCACAACATTTCACCCAAAGTGTGAGTTCTTTCCATTGACACCATGTCATGTGAAAGATCTATCAATACATATTCATCTCAGCTGTCTTGTTCACTCACAGTAAAGGATGTAGAGAAAGCAGAATAAGTTCAGAAAAAGCCAATAAGGATGATCTGAAGTATGGGGAGAAAACCCTATGACTTCAAAGAGAGAAAAAAAACCTGGCCACATTCTTCTGAAAACCCACCAGATGTCACCTGGCAGTAGGTATTGACTGTCATTTATTCTTTCCATTTTCCCCAGTCAACTGGCAATCAAATGGGTGATAGTATCTATTTCTCTTTACTGTCACAATTACTTCCTGGGCCAAAAGTAAGGAAAGAGGAACATGTAGACTGCATTCATGAAGAGAATAAGCAAGTCCATCTTATATTTCCTCTAGTGAATTCTTAATGCCTTCTGAGCTTGATTATATTTTTGCAGGCTTTTCATTGCCCAACTAGGCAACATCATTATCTTGTGTTGCTGATGTTACCTGGTTGGGCAATGAAACATCTGCAAGCAAGCAACCCAAGCTCAGAGATCACCAAGAAGTTCGTAATTCTATCCTGAGCTACAAATATTCACTTCTATTTCCCACAGTGCTCCAATTGTCAAATGAACACAGGAGCATTTTCTTAACTGATAACTTCTATAAGTGCAAGGATCTGAAAAAACAACCCTCCATCAGAAGCAGGCCCTGTTCAAACATGAGGACTTAACAGCTACCTGGGTAGACCAAAATGCTGATGTGGGCTTTGGCTGGGATCTCAAATAGTGTTGATTTCAAAAGATTTCTTAAAAAATAACTATGCTTTAGGAACACGAGTATTAACTTTTGAGATGGACACTGGGCTGGAAAATCTCAGAAAAGACAACATCACCAGTGGCCGTTAATCTATGGGCTTTGCCCTCCTGTGGCACGGTAACTTTTCATGCAGATGCTACAGGTACACTTCCTTCATCAAGAGGAAAAGGCAACTTTCCTTAGAACGTGAGTTTGCAGACTTGCTAGCAGGGCTTTAACAGCATGCCAAAAGCAGATGGTGAAGTGCCTAGAGAAGAGGGGGGAGGGACGAGCATCTGTAAGACTGTCTGGGGGAAGAAGAGCTGAGCAGGATTTTCTTTGAAGTGGTGGGTGGCAGCAGTTGGCAGAGTGATCCTTCAAGGTTTTCCCTTCAGCTGACTACCCCAATTATCTAGTCTGGAAATAACAATAAGGATGCCAGCATGCATCCACACAGATGTGTGCGCATACCAAGAGACATAGTTAATACCACCATATCACAGAAAGCTCCCATTCTGTATCGTTTTTTGGGTCTATCTATGCCTTCATCTTTCTAGATCAATGTCCCCTAACCTGGCCCACTCTGTGATGCATGGATTTCAGCTCCTAGAATCCCCCAATCGGCATCGCCATTATTAAGAATTCTAGGAATTGAAGCCACACCCCAAAATTTTCTAAATGGGATAATCTGATCTATGTAAAGGTTGAGAAACTCTTGGGTCTCTCCAGATATTACTGACTCCTAGTTTCACCACAACAGGTGAGTTCAGAAGACTGGGTTTGGTTCTGTATCCCAACAGGACAGACACAGACTTCAGAGAGTACTTAGGACCGCAGAAAAAACAATTGCTACCCACCTGCCTTCCATGGAGGACCTGTATACTGCACGAGTCAAAAAGAGGGCTGTGAAAATATTTACAGACCCTCTCACATCCTGGACATAAACTGTTTCAGCTCCTACCCTCAAAACGACGCTATAGAGCACTGCACACCAGAACAACTAGTCACAAGGACAGTTTTTCCCCAAAAGCCATCACTCTGCTAAACAAATAATTCTCTCAACACTGTTCAACTATTTACAAAGTCTGCACTACTATTACTATTCACTTTTTAATCACTCCTTATCACCCCCTCCCACTTGTGACTGTATGACTGTAACATTGTCGCTTGTATCTTTAGGATTATGATTGTTTCCTAGTATGATTTGATTGCTTATTGTACCTTATGTCTATTATTAAGTATGGTACCTGACGATTCTTGACTCTTGATGAATGTATCTTTTCTTTTATGCATACTGAGAGCATTTGCACCAAGACAAATTCTTTGTGTGTCCAAACAGACGTGGTCAGTAAAGAATTCAACTCTATTCTATTCTATTCTATTCTATTCTATTCTATTCTATTCTATTCTATTCTATTCTATTCTATTCTGGGATGTTTCTGCCATTATAAGATCAGAAAGAGGTTATCATGGATGGATAGGTTCCAGATTAGCAAAATCTTGTTTTCATTAAAATCTGGAATTGCTCAGAACTAAGGGCAAGAAGAAACGTGTGGTGGCAAACTGACACAATAGAAAGCCATACTTTGCTTATCAAGTTTTAATGATCCTGAAGTAGCCAGCTTCATTCATAAAATTAATTCATATCAACCCTCTTTCACAAGTCATTTGTTTTGATTAAACAAACCAAATCATCAATCCATATCAGAATGTTGATTCAATCTCCTCAAATTGCTTTCCCGATAAATGTCCGCATAGAAGAGCTTTCCACTGCCCTGGCTTTTGAAACAAATTAACATTGGCTGACTTAATAAAACACACTAAGCCAAAACTGAACAAAATACAAATTGATTTAGGACAAACTGTGTCTTTAACAAGAGCTGGCCAACTCTAATGGGCACGTTCCAGATGTTCATGATTTGGGTGAATGGAAGCTTGCTGGAAGGGGGAAAATTTCCATCTCCCTTAGCTGAGATGCTTGGCCAATCTAGCGTTTCTGGTGTCATTTCAGGGGAAGTATGACTGAGGTGGAGCCTGTGCTGGATTTTGCATCATCAGGGCGCACTGGCCGAAGAAACGCCTTGCCAGATATCCTGGGTTCGCCAGCTGGTGTCAGCCCCACCGACTTGCCCCTGAAACTGGCAGAAATGTCTATTAACTCAGGTAGGCTTCCTCCTTATTTGCCTCATTTCTTGTATCATTGGAGTTCATTGTTAATGGAGCAGTTCCTTTCTGTCTTCATCTGTCCTGGATCGGGACAGTTTGCTCATGGTCATTCATGCCTAGGTCACTTCCTGTTTGGATAATTGCAATGGGCTCTATGTGGGGCTGCCCCCTTGTAACCAGGGGTGGGATTCTGCCGGTTATTCTGGCTCTGTGGAACCAGTAGCTCTGAAGAGCAGCAGACATAGAACCAGTTCTATTCTCACACCTGTATGCGTGCGCAATTCGTAAATCACCGAACCGGGTAGTTTCCCCGGTCAGATCTCACCTCTGCTTGTAACCACCCAAAAGTTACAACTAGCGCAGAATACAGTGACCCACACAGTGTTGGCTTCTGTAGGTTTGCTCACAGTCAGGGGTGGGCTTCAAAAATTTTAGCGAAGGGTTCACTGCCTGGTTGTTGGGTGGGCGTGGCCATGGTGGCCATGGCCTAGTTGGCGTCCTGCACCATGGGGGGAGGGGGGCACTTTTACCCTCCCTGGGTTTCAGAGGCTTTCCTTGAGACTCTGGGAGGGTGAAAACAGCCTCCCCGGGCTCTGGAGGCTCTCTTGAAGCTGGAAATGGGCCCATTTCCAGCCTTCCCGAACCTCCGGAAGGCCCGTTTTTCATCCTTCCTGAGCCTCTGCACGTACCCTGCTTACCTGCATCCATAACGGGCCACGTGAGGACTCCTGGGAGGGGTGGGGTGGGCAGGGCCAGCCAGAACTGGGATTTGGGGGTTCTCCGAATTGCACAGAATCTTAGCTAGGGGCATGTTGCACGATGAAGCAGGCCAAAGT